GCACCGTTCCCTGTACAGCAGCGCAGCACCACGGACAGCTACGCCTTGGGATGTTGTCCTTACTCCAGCACCATGGACAGCGCCGGAGCGGCAGGCACGGCCAGCTGGGACATTTCACCTCATCAGCCGGCCCTTCAAAAGCGGCCAGCTGGAGCTCATCAGGGGAGAGAAATGTTTGTGGTTGCAGAGGCAACGTGTGTTCTCTCCCCGTTGGTGGTTACCAGAGGTTTTGTGGTTAATACCAGGTTGTGGTTTGCTTCTTGTGAAGAAGTAACTTAAGAACCTTTTGTGTATGGGATATTCTCAGTTAAGCGGTAATTTTGTGGCAACGTGTGGTTCTCTGTTTCCTGAGCCAATTTTGGTATTTTGGACAACTTTAGTTAGATTAGTACTTTTGTTTGGTTTGTCTTTTAGACAAACCTTGTTTAATTTAAGGGTGGGATTTTTTCCCCTATTGAGTTTCATTTCCCTTTTAAACAAAGGAGATTAATTTTAGGAGTGGTTGGTCCTCCTGTCATTTTTAGTTAATTAACGTTAACTTAGTTAATTCCTGGGTAAGGTTTTTTTTGCCCTTCTTTTGGTTCTTTATTTTTTGTAATAAAACCTTTGAAAATACAAGGACACTTTGAGTTTGGTTTTGCTTAGTCAAGCCTTTTTCTCCCCAACGAGGGTCACTTTTTGTTAGACTGGTCCATTTTATGTTTATTCCCCTCACCTTCCTAGCTGAGCCCACAGAGGGGTGTAACAGATGCCCATCGGTACACTTGGTACCAGGGCAGCCTAGGTCGCAGGTCGATGATAAACTTTGTAGTTGTATCATCTGACCTGCGGCCGTATGTTTTGGACACCCGAGTGAAGAGAGGAGCGGAGCTGTCAACTGATCACCACCTAGTGGTAAGTTGGATCAGATGCCAGGGGAAGATGACGCATCGACCTGGCAGACCCAAATGCATAGTGAGGGTCTGCTGGGAACGCCGTCTTCAACTCCCACCTCCGGCAGAGCTTTGACCGCGTCCTGAGAGCAGTGGGGGACATTTACTCAGAGTGGGCCTAGTTCCACTCTGCGATTGTTGAGGCGGCTGTTGCTAGCTGTGGTCGCAAGGTGACCAGTGCCAGTCGTGGTGGTAACCCCCGTACCCGCTGGTGGACACCAGAGGTTCGGGCAGCCGTCAGACTGAAGGAGGAGGCCTACAGGGCGTGGCTGTTCTGTGGGTCTCTGGAGGCAGCAGACAGGTACCAGATAGCCAAGCAGGGTGCAGCAGTGGCAGTTGCTGTAAAATCTTGGGCGTGGGAGGAGTTTGGTGAGGCCATGGAGAAAGACTATCAATGGGCCCCAAAGAGGTTCTGGCAAACTATCCGGCACCTCAGGAGAGGGAGGCAGCAACTCGCTCACACTGTTTACAGTGAGGATGGGGAGCAGCTGACATCAACTGGGGCTATAGTCGGACGGTGGAAGGAATACTTTGAGGAGCTCCTCAATCCCACCTATGCGCATTCCAAGGAGAAACCAGAGCCTGGAGACCTGGGGATGGACTGTCCAATCTCGGGGGTAGAAGTTGCTGAGGTAGTCAAACAACTACACAGCGGCGGAGCACCGGGGTGGATGAGATTCATCCTGAGTATCTCAAGGCTATGGATGTTGTAGGGCTGTCATGGTTGACACGTCTCTGCAACATTGCGTGGTCATCGGGGGTAGTTCCTGTGGAGTGGCAGACCGGGGTGGTGGTCCCCGTCTTTAAGAAGGGTGACCTGAGGGTGTGTTCCAACTATAGGGGAATCACACTCCTCAGCCTGCCTGGAAACGTCTATTCCAAGGTACTGGAGAGGAGGGTCCGATCGATAGTTGAATCTCAGATTGAGGAGGAGCAATGTGGTTTTCATCCTGGCCGTGGAACTGTGGACCAGCTCTATACCCCTGCAAGGGTGATGGAGGGGGCATGGGAGTTTGCCCAACCAATCCACATGTGTATTAAGGATTTGGAGAAGGCTTATGACCGTGTCCCCAGGGGCACCCTGTAGGGGACGCTCCAGGAGTATGGGGTGGGTGGCTTTCTGTTAAGGGCCATTCAGTCCCTTTACCAGAGGAGCGTGAGTTTGGTCCGCATAGCCGGTAGTAAGTCGGACCTGTTCCCGGTGAGGGTTGGACTCCACCAGGGCTGCCCTTTGTCACTGGTTCTGTTCATTGCCTGTATGGACAGAATTTCTAAGCGCAGCCGTGGTGTGGAGTGTGTCGAGTTTGGTGGCAGGAGAATCTCGTCTCTGCTTTTTGCCGATGATGTGGTCCTCCTAGCTTCATCCAGCTCTGACCTTCAGCTCTTGCTGGGTAGGTCTGCGGTCGAGTGTGAAGCGGTTGGGATGAGGATCAGCACCTCCAAATCTGAGACCATGGTTCTCGACGGGAAAAGGGTGGCTTGCCAACTCCGGGTTGGGAGAGAGGTGCCACCTCAAGTGGAGGAGTTTAAGTATCTTGGAGTCTTGTTCACGAGTGAGGGTAGGAGGGATCGAGAGATTGACAGGCGGATTGGTTCAGCGTCTGCAGTGATGCGGACGCTGAGCCGATCTATCATGGTGAAGAGGGAGCTGAGCCAGAAAGCCAGGCTCTCAATTTCACCGGTTGAGCTACATCCCAGTCCTCACCTATGGTCATGAGCTTTGGGTAATGACTATCGACATTAATATATGGACAATGGGTTTCCATAGGCTCCAATAACAAGTTTTTCTGCTAAAATGGGAGGTGACCACCACCGCCATTTTGACCGTGTCACAGGTTCCGTCAAGCCCAGACAATTCCATAAAAGGGAAGAGAGGAGGAGCTGAGGGTGGGCCTGTAAGGCTGGGATCATCTGACGACACCTGGTCGAACTAGCTACAAGCTAACCTGAAGCTAACCCAAAGCTAATGCGGAGGTGGGAGCTAAGCTAACGGAGGTAGCAACCTAGCTACAACCGGAGTTAACTGTGCACAACACCAGAGCTTCTGAGTCAGAGATACGCCGGGCTGACCGCTGGGTAAAACCGGGTGGAACACAGAGGTCTCGAGACCTCCACAGAGGCCTTCGAGAGCTCCACAAGCCGGCAGCCGCACAGCACACAGAAGCCGCGATCAGACAGAGATGGACCGGGCTGCGGGGAGAAACAGCCGGCATTCCGGGTGGTTTACATCGGTCTCCCGATAGTCGGAACCCAGCTCCACCAACATGTTATATTTCAACCCATTTTCTAAAGTGCAGCATTATGTTAAATGCACTGGGTTTTACCCTATTACATTTAAATTTCATGGTTAAACAGTACATGTTAACATCTAAGCTCAGCTCGGCAGTGACCTAAAATGCATAAATATAATTTTACTTACCGAAAAAAATGAAGTGGAGACTCCTTGGATGCTCTATTAGTGCAATTAATGCCACAGCAAGTCATTTTGTCCAACAATTGCACAAATGATATCCAAAAAAGAATACACACACACAGAGACTCAAAATCCCGGAACAGTTTCCAAGCCAGACCGAGGCTCTACTGAGGCCTTTCCCCGGAGCTAGCTCTGTGGTCACGTGGGTCTGATGCTCATTAATTATACACAATTTTAGGCTTTTATTACACTTAAACAGAAGAGTGAGAAAAAAATTCACCCCCCTCAGAGTTGTCATGAGTGTAAACTAGATAATTTAAACAAATAACATGTTCTGGTACCAGGCTGTAAACATGTATATTTCTGCTGTGAAATTGGCATTTTTAACATGGAAGTCAATGAGGATTTGCGCGCTTCTGATACCAGCCCCCAGCAGATGAGGGTGGAACTGCAATTTTTCTTACTTCCGGGTTGGCCTCAATTTTAAAGCCACATTGTGGGGGCCTGGTAATGACCGAAAGAACAAGATTGCGGATACAAGCGGCGAAAATGAGTTTCCTCTGTAGGGTGGCCGGGCTCAGCCTTAGAGATAGGGTGAGGAGCTTGGACATTCGGGAGGGACTCGGAGTAGACCCGCTGCTCCTCTGGATCGAAAGGAGTCAGTTGAGGTTGTTTGGGCATCTGGTCAGGATGCCTCCTGGACGCCTCCCTGGGGAGGTGTTTCGGGCATGTCCTGCCTGCAGGAGGCCCACGGGTCGACCCAGGACACGTTGGAGAGGTTACATCTCCAGTCTGGTCCGGGAACGCCTTGGGGTCCTGCCAGAGGAGCTGGTGGAGGTGGCCGGGTAGAGGAAGGTCTGCAGCACCCTAGTTGGGATGCTGCCGCCGCGACCCGGACCCGGATAAGTGGAGGAAGACGACAATGACTGCGGCTTAAATAGTTAAAAACATTAGGGCCTTCGCCGGGGCTCAGTTTTTCTATTCAGTAAACAAAGGCACCGGCTGCTGAGTTTGAACATGGAAGAAGACGAGCAGGCACAAAAGTGTGCATGCATTTACATGTGCCTCATTTTTGAGAAAATATAAAGATAAAAGTGATTTTATGTAAAATTTCCTTCCTGTATTGAAACGTTTTTAATACAAACTAAGGCGACTCAGTCTTTCAGCTCTTGAGGAGCTTTTTTTAAGAAGCAGTTTCTGCAAATTAAGGCAACAGATCAGCTTTAGACAAAGCTGAAATTGTACAGGAATCTCCTTTCATCATCAAGCATTAACCCTATTGAGTGGTAGCGGACTATGAAGGCCAGTTTACCAATACTCTATAGTATAGCAGGGGTACTCAATTCAATTCTGGTCCTTGGGGGGCTGGTATCCAGCATGTTTTAGTGGTTTCTCTGCTTATTTCAGTAGTTGAATCATGTGTGCAGCAGCTCATTAGGCTCTACTGAAGCCTGTTAATCCCCTTCTAATTGGAATCAGGTCTGTTGAAAAAGTTAAAGTTAAAATGTGCAAGATACCAGGATTGAACACCCCTGCTCTAGTTTGGCCATAAGGTACCACTGTGTTCAAGCATCCTCAAGATCAGTTGAGCTCACATTTTTTTTATTCCAAGGAAGCTATCAGTCGAGAAAGAGCCTGGCTGCTGCCATAAAATGGAGACACGCTAATTTGTCCTGAAGAAAAACTGCTAGGACTCATGTTTATATAGTGTACATATTTATTTTACTCAGTGTTTTGCCTCTTTTTTATACAGTGGTTTTAATTTGTTTATTTGGTATCCAAATATTTTTTATTAGTTAAGAGTATATGTTTCTCTATTTTACACCAAAGAAAAAATGTCCCCACTCTATCTTCATACTGTTAAGTTTTATTTTGCACGAAAATATAAATACTGCCTTTTTACTTATTTACAAATATTGAAATACTATGCCTTTACTGTTAGCACTAAAAGTTTGCTGTGTTTTTGTTTGGTTTAATAAAACAATCATTTAATTACTTAAAAAATTATACATATAGGCATTAAAAACCAGGTATATTTGAAGTTGTGGTATTGAAAAATATTTAATGGTACCCAGCCCTAGTTATGTGCAGCTTTCACAGTAACACAAAGGAACAACATTAAAAGATAAAGGAATATAGATAGTACATTGTAAACCCTCACTTATACTTAAAACTGTACAAAAGTGCCAACATGAATCTACACTATGGTCAGACGGAAGAATTTTAATCGTTTATAAATTTCTTTCATTTTTAGACCGTAAATGAATGGATTAAGCCAAGGGTGGTAAACAAATAGTTGCAGTGTCATTACAAACTGAACAGTTTCAGAAAGGTCAGACTCCACACGAGCTATAATTATACTAAATATAGCTAAATAAGAAAAATTGATTAAAACCAACAAGTGGGGTATGCAGGTCTCAGCAGCCTTTCTCCTGAAAGCTTTCCCTTTTTCAAATGATATTATTAATATCTTGGTATACGTAAAAATTGTGAAAAGAATTGGAAGTATTACAACATAAACTAAAGAAACAAGCCCCATTATAGTAATTAGTCTTGATTTGACACACTGAAGTGGGAAAATAGAATTATTACAAAATATTCCTTTTAAATTGAAGCTGCATAATTTAGCTTTAGCACTCCAAAAGGTCTCAGCTCCAAGGTGAATAAAAGGTATAATCCAAGAAAGAATCAGAAAGGAAGTGACAGTGGCCTTAGTCATGATAGCTTGGTATCTCAGAGGATTACATATGGACACATATCTATCAAAAGCCATGGCTGCCAACAGTAAGAATTCTGTTCCACCTACAGAATAAAATGTAAAAAACTGAAAGAGACAGGCAGAATATGATATGATCTGTTTTTCAGATAAAAAGTCTATCAGGAGTTTTGGGTAAACTGTAGTGCTGTACAGAACACAGTTAAATAACAAAGCAGCAATAAAAATGTACATGGGCTCATGGAGGTCCTTGTCTGTCCAGATAATATACACAATAGTAGAATTACTACAGATTATTAAAACATATACAATAAACAAAACAGTAAAATACAAATACCTGTATTTGTTCATTTCTACATACCCACTTAGGGTTATGTAGGCAATGTTAGACTCATTATCCATATGTTTTCAAACTACTGAAACTGTTCACTCATTAAATTACAATTATTCCTGAGTAAAACACAATTATAATTCTAGATTTAAAGATGCAGTTCATACAATCCTGTCTGCTAATACTTCAACCTGAACTGCTGGAGTCTCTGTCAGGGTTTTATTAGATGTGTTGCCTCTCTAAAGATCTGATCTCTTGAGAACCACACCACTGCTTCTTCTACTCAAGCAAAATGAAGTTGCAATAAACAAAAATAAATTGGAGTCAGGGTTAATCACCACACAGATTGGAAAATGAGTTTTTTTCTACTCTTGTTTATTTAAAGGTGAGAAAAAATAAAAATGGCATAAAGACCAGAAAAGTTTTAGGACTGGTACAGCAAGTTTAGTGTGAAATTGTTTAAAATGGCAAAAATTACTTTTTACCTCTTTGACTAAAATATTACCTGAAAAGGCAGTTCTTTAGTAAATTTCCTAACTAAATAATCCTGCAGGGCATTGTCGTGTAAAGCTTTAGCAATAAAATATCTAAATTAATTACATAATAACTTAATCAAATATTATACAAAAACAAGCTATTTAAAAAAAACACATCCAGTGGTATTTGTAGACTTTTTAATTTGTTTCTTATAGTATAAATCCTTTTTCAGAGGCTGACAACTACACACCAAAACTAATAATTTCCTTACATGAAGATGCAATTTTTCAGCTATTAACAATCCATGCCTTGAACTAGAAAAGTGCATAAAAGCAACATTTATTTAAGTTGCATTTGATCAGTGTGAGCTTTGGTAACAGTGATGCAGCTGTCAGTTAACAAACATGTAGGGTTTTATCTTCATGTTTAAAATTGTACATTTTTTGTTTTCTTTTGTTTTTTATGCAAGTTGGACATTACATTTCTAATAAAGTACCTACCTATTTACCTACTTATATATTACCAACCAACTAAAAACTGTTAAGAGTTACAGCTACCTGTCTCAAATGCCCCACACTAGGGAAAGATATGTTTATGAGGTGATTTGGCCATGAAGGTCCCCATAGTTGTTACCTGGAGGAAGGAACAAACCCTGGTGTGGCAGCTACGGTGAAAAGGCTCACTGAAACACAAACGAATGTCCCAAAGAATTTCAAATGAAAAAGCCAAATGCAAAGTGGCATAGTCACCTTATTTGAAACTTTATTGATATTTCAAAAACATTGACATATTGTCCAGTCCTAGTTAGTGCCAGGCTGGCCTCAAAGCCATATCCAGAGTTTCAAAAATACTGAGGTCCACCATCCATTATCCCCTTCACATTGATACGGAAGTAGAGATAAACATGAAGACCAAAACTCTATTCAATTTTAATAATTTATCTAAAACTAAATTGAATGTGGATAAGTGGTATGTGTGTTAGAAATGTATTTTATGTGTACATTGATAGGAGTAAATCCATGGAGTGTAATATGTTTGTGTCGATATAAGCAACAAAACAAAGCTCAAGCCTTGTTTGCAGTTCATCACGTGGTCTTTAGACCAAAGGTGACCGATCATCTGCTGCTGTGGCCCCCAGACTCTGGAACTCTCGCCCCCTGAGCCTGAGATTAGTGAACTCAGTGGTCTCCTTTACAAAGCAGCTGAAAACTCACATTAGCCTCTTTTATAAGACAGACCATTGCGTCATTACAGAGTGATAAATCCGAATTTGTGGGTCTCGTAAATGCACCATGGTTTTTGATTTGCACGGACAGTTATGGTTTTAGTTATTGTTACATCCTCAATGCATTTCTTGATGTAGGCTGTAACAGTCTCGGCATACTCCTGAGATCAGCGGTGTTATTGTAGGTGGCAGCCTGCTCAAACATGTTCCAGTCCGTGGAGCTAAAACAGTCCTATAGAGCTCCAGAGCCCACGTGACTCTCAGTTAGTGGACGCCATTTTGGCATGCAAAAAAGGTAAACAAACACGGATGTAACCATGAACATGAACGGGATCCGCTTGGATTTTACTTCGTCGGAGTTTACTTCACACTTTAAAACAGAAGAAATCGTTTTATATAGTCAGAAATTAAATAGACTAAACATCTCCGACCCTTACCGTGACCCTGGGATACTTTTTAAAAACGCCAGAAGCTGTCGGAGCGGACTTCTTACCGGCACAACACCGGATCTGGCCGGGGAACCCCTTGGGATTCCCCCGGCCGGAGGAGCTGGGGAGAAGGTCTGGGACTCTCGACTCTACTGCCCGCTCCGACGCCAGAAGCTGTCGGAGCGGACTTGGCACAACACCGGACCTGACCGGGGAACCCCTTGGGATTTACCCGGAGGAGCTGGCTCCGGCGGCTGGGGAGAGGGAAGTCACGCTACTGCCCCCGCAACCCGACTGCGGATACGCGGATGAAAATGGATGGATGGACGGACAAATAACAGATTTACACGTAAGTTGTCTCGGTGAGACAGATAATAGCAATCCAAAGTGCTTTTTATGTGTGATCTGACAATTGATCAACCATTGCTTAAAAATTTAATACAGCTTAGCCGGTTAATTGCTGTGATCATAAAACACGGAAACGGCAGCACGCAGAACTCACGAGGCAACGTTTTACGTGATGTTTACTTGCTGCTATGAGCAGTGTTGGGAGTAACGCCGTTTAAGTATAACGGCATTTCTAACGGCGTTCTTTTATAGGCAACGGAATATTCTAATTAATTACTTTTCCCGCCGTTACAACGCCGTTACCGTTACTGGGGACGGAAGGTTGTGCGTTACTATGTGCTTGTCGAACGTTGAGCAGCAGCGTGAGGCTTTCTGACCGCCACACTTCAGCTGCAGCCAGGGAGAGAGAGGTGTCGGTAACACACTTACAAACACGATGATGATTGGCCGGGTGGGCGGAGACCCTCAGTGTTCTCGCTGTCACCGCATGCTGTAGACACAACGGGAATAACTCCGTTTAAAATAACCGCGTTAATAAAAAATATTTCTTTCTGTAATGAGCAAACTAATTAATTACGTCTTCTTTTATCAAAACGTCGTTTCTGTTACTGATAAGAAAATGCGTGCGTTAAGCAGCGCGGTGTGTTGAAGCTGTCATCATCAGCTGATCAGGAGCTAAAGAGGTAGATGTTTTCATCCAAGTGCGTCACGGCCCGTGAAGAACGAGGAAGACGTGATGAATATCTACGGCTGCAGACCCCCCGCAGATTTGTTGCTGCAGGGTCTGCAGCCGTGCCCTTCTTAGCGTGACAGCGGGACGTCCCGAAGGTCCGCTCAACTGTTCACCGCTCAGACGTCCTGATCTTCTGCCTTCCTAGATCATCCAGCTGTAACCTGTTCCTGATCATGTCTTTAGTCCCGCTGTAACACTGATGCATCAGTCTCAGACGGCATGGAGCTCAGGTGTTATCAGAACTACCTGTGTGTGTTTACCACCCAGCTTCAGCTCTTCTATGGTTGGGTCTGACCCACGTTAGTAAATGTAAGTCCTCCATCAGGCTTGTGCCTCTTCTAGTGTCATTTGAAAGGATTTTATTTATTTATTTAACCATTACTAGATTACCAGCAACAGAAATGCTGCTAAAACACACAATTATATGAAGCTGGAAAAATTTAAATACTGTGCAAAATTACATTTATTTCTGTAATTTAACTAGACTGAGAGACCATTTAAAGGCTCAGGAACCTTTACAGGTGTTTCTATTTGCAATTTTAAATTTTAGCTGATTGGGTTTTGGTTAAATATCACTCAGTGACCTTTTAATATTCTAGATTAGTGTAATGTTCCTATTAGTAGTTCCTCCTGTTAAGTGCGTATTTATTTAAATTATTCAGGTTTATATAAAACATTTGGACATACATTTTATTATGTTCAGTCATTAGTCATTTATATTTTACTATTGTAGTAATTCTTGCATTCTTTAATGAAAAAAGTAACTAAGTAGTTACTTTTGTTGGTAATTAGTTACTTTTATGATCTTGTAACTCAGTTAGTAACTGAGTTACTTTTTTGACAAAGTAATCAGTAACTATAACTAATTACTTTTTTAAAGTAACGTTCCCAACACTGGTTATGAGTAATAAGACAGAAAAAGCCACGCCAAAATAAGTTTAGGAAGCCCACTAAGAATCATAATAAAAGCATTTAAAATAAATACCATACACAGTTGAGGAAACGTTGGTTTAAGTACCTGATATGAAGTGGTCGCTGCATAAGCGAAAACCTTTACTCTCGGGATCCCACAGCTTCATTTTCGCCCTGTCACTAGTGCGTTTTATTACAATGATCCAACGTTTGCGGCGCTCCGGATCTTGGGGAATCCTGTAGATGGCTCATTCCTTATGTCGTCCGCATTTGTTCTGCATCCTGGGGCACAACAGGAATCTACCATATTTCCCGTTTGATTGAGTTTTCTGACAATAACAAATAGTCCAGCTGCCGGCTTCTGCATGCCAATATGGCGCCGTTTCGATTTGAACTGTTGCATGCCGGGAGAAGTGACGTCAACTCCCGGAGCTCTATAAAGCCTCTGAAGACCCTTCTGGCCACACTTGTATTTGCTTACAAACCGGTTTGGTGACTTTAACGAGCGGTCTGTAAGCAGGCATTAGCATGACAGTGATGTGGTCTGAGGCACCAAGGTGGGGGAGGGGGAAAGCTTTGTAAGCTCATCTCTGGGTGGTGTAAACACAGTCCAGTGTGTTATTTCCTCTTGTTGGAAAGTCAATGTGTTGCTGTATTTTTGGAAACATGCACTTTAGGTCTGCATGGTTGAAATCCCCAGCCAAGATGAGAAAGGCATCAGGATGGGCTGTCTGCTGCTCGCTGATGCGCTGGTACAGTTCATTCAGTGCCTCACTCCTGTTGTTGTAATTGGAGGAGGGAGGGATGTACACAGCACACAGTTGCATGGCTGAGTATTCCCTCGGTAGATAGAATGGCCGACACTTAATAACCATAAGCTCCAGTACAGGCGAGCAGTGTTTGCAGACCGCGACAGCATCGTGACACCAGGCGTCATTGATGGAAACACAGAGTCCACCCCCGTGGGCCTTACCTCCCCCGACAATATCTCGGTCAGCACGGTAGCAGGTTGGTCAAGCTGAATGGCACGGTCTGGGACACTGTCACTGAGCCATGTTTCCGTCAATATAAAAACACAACAGTCCTTTACATTCCTCTGAGATGAACGAAGTAATCGAATGTCGTCCAGTTTATTTCCTAGCAAGCGTACTTTGGCCAGGACGATGGCGGGTTTATGTGGGGCTACTAGCGTAGCTCGGATACCGCCACGCTTTCCCCTCTTCTGCTTCCTCTCACGCCGCTTGAGGCGCCTCCTTTGTGGGCGAGGAGCAGGAGTGGCAGTCTGTGATTGAATAGTCCTCCAGAGCAGACCCAGATTTCTCAGCTCTGTGGTGTCCGTAGAGTTTAACTTACAAACATTGTTCCTGCCGATGTCGAGCAAAGATGTTCGGTCGTATACACGCTTGCAGACAGATAGGCGTGACATGGACATACCGAAAAAAAATTTAAATAAATAAAAAGAGGAAAAGGAAAAAAAAAGTTGGAGAGAGAGAGAGAGAGAAGCCGCTGCGTGTGCACGCGCCGCCAGCCAGGCGTGTAATGACTGCATATTTAATTATGACCAATAAGATGAATTAGGCACAGATTATTCAAACATTTCATATAACATCTGGTTCATTCAACCATATGATAATAAATGATTATTTAACTTATGAGTTGTAAAAGTTCACTTTCATTCAGAGGGAGGAATCCTGCAGTTGATAAGAGGAAAGTCTTGAAGACCTTGGGAGAGAGAACGTGTGTTGACTATCTTGTTATCTTGTGTAACAAGCACTGCAGAATCTTCTGGGCTTTAGAAGACAGAGTAGGAAGTCCATCTAGAT